CAATGGGCAGTTTTTCCAAGGGCCAGGTAAATTTTCCTCTCACCATGACACTTCTTTTTTCCTAAGTATCCATCACCTGCTAGCCCAGAGTGGTGAGTGACCCAGCTGGGAATTCAGCACACTCCCTCTGCCTTTAACCGTAGCAGTCAGCACCTGCTATGGGCTTGGGTCTCTTGACCCTGAGCCTGCAAAATGACCACACATTTGGGATGCAATGTCCCCTTCCTGGTTCAGGGAGAGATGCGAGGGAACTGAACGGACCACTCCTCCACTGCAGCTACCCTTTGCTCCCGCCCCTCCTCCCACACTGTCCTTCAGCCCAGCCTCCCTGTCCTTTTAGGACTATTTAGTCTTGTTTAAGACCTTGTTTCCTGTGGAAGTATGTGAGAATCTGTCAGCAGACCCCCCCACACATACACAAGTCTCCTCATCCCACACCACACTAAGGCTGCTTCTGTGGCTCAGGTGCCATACAGAACTTATCCGGAGTTTCTCCATGCTAGGTCAGGGCATTACAGTGGGGAAGGATGAGCCCCAGGGTCCTGCCCCACCCAGTCCTGGGGGCTTAATGACTTGTGCAGACCTCATTTAGGGTGGGAATGCCTCACTCCAGACCTGGAGGCGCTCACGTTATTTGCTGTTCCATGGACCTTCTATTCATCCCCCACTCCTCCATGAAATCCCAGAAGTTTGAGAAAGCCCAACAGGTGATTACATTCCCAGGCTATGATTAATCCACATCCTTGGTTGACCCCTGAGATGCCACTCAGTTTGTTGACTTGGGGCTGTGGGGATTCCTAGACTCCGGGCCCCTCAAGGTTCCTAGGAGCAGGAGGTCAAGCCAAACAAGGGGAGGGTTGGACTCAGAGGGTCCATAGGATAGGGGCCAGCTGAGTCTTGCAGCCAGATGTCCCAACTCCCAGCATTCAGTCCTAGCTGGGCTCCGTCCACTGTGACTTCTCTTAAAGCTTGAGTCCAACTCCTCTCCCCTCTCCCCATATACTGTTCCAGCCACAACCCATGTTTCCATTTTCAGCAAACTCTTAACAGCCCCAGGGACTTCACATTGCTGTTCCATTAGCCAGAACAAGAGTTTCTTAGGGAACCTCTGCTTAGCTGGCTCCTGATTATTGAGGAGTTAGCTGAACCTCAGGAAGGTTTTCTTCAAAAGCAGCCCGTGTGTCAGAGAGACCCTAGGGGACCCCCAGCAAGTCTCTCCTAGTGTGACCACTTTTGTGTAATCTCCTTTTGAGTAGGGGTGGGACCTTTGGCTTGATACTTATCAATAACTGTGACAAAGAAGGCTGCAAGCTACCCCTGCAAAAGGCTGGTGGTATGCTAGGGTGAGGGCATTCTGGGTAGGCCTGGGCCAATCAAGGAAGAGCCCTTAAAACAGGCTCTGGATCCCTCTGAAGAGCCTCCCGTGATGTCTGTTGCTGCAACAGAGTATCCAACCCTGGATACTGATAAGTATCAGAGGGTTACTCAGCGGCAGGGCTGTGTGGTTCCTCCTCTCACTCCGCCTATTTTGAGGAGCTGGTGGCAGCAAGTGCCGTGTCTGATGGAGTCACCACACATGCAGAGGTGGACCCGTGGCAGGTGGCACCATAACAGATGTCATTGTGATGTGATGGGTGCTCCCATGCAGAGTGGCTTCATGGCGGGTGGCATGGTGGATGGAGCCATAGTCAGGCACTGTAAGAAGGAGTCTGTGAGCCCGGCGCTGGTGGAACACACCTTTAATCCCAGCACTCGGGAGGCAGAGGCAGGTGGATCTCTGTGAGTTCGAGGCCAGCCGGGTCTACAGAGCGAGTTCCAGGACAGCCTCCAAAATAATACAGAGAAACCCTGTCTTGAAAAACTAAAAAAAAAAGAAGAAAAAAGAAAAAGAAAAAGAAAAAAGAAAGAGTCTGTGGAGACAGGAAGTGGGTGGTGAGGAGGCTTCAGTCTTGCAGTGGTAACCATTCACTCTCAGAAGAACGACATGCATTCCTCCTAATGGCAGTGTCTCAGGATATAAGCACTGAAACCCTGGGGACCCCTACCCCTCAAGAACCCCATTACCTCCCAACACCCCTGCATCGAGGCCCAAGCTTTCAAAGCATTAAAACTTGCAGGATGGACTCCAAATTCACCCAAACCCAAGCCCCGACAGGGAGCGACTTCCCTTAAAACTTTCTGAAGGGCAGTGGACACATCCAGCAAAGAGCCTTCACTCCAGGGCCCACAGGGAGCTGAACCCTGCAGACCAGATCACTTTAACATCCTTGGCAACCAACGCCTACCTCATCTCCTGTTGAGCCTCTGGGTGAAGACAGCACAGCTGTGGAGCCCCTGGAACATCAGCCTGGTCTCTTGACCACAGACACAGCCTCAGGGTGGTACCACTTACAAGGTGACAGCAGACAGCCTGGTCCCCTCTCCTGCTTCCCACCTCTCCCCGTGCTGGGCTCGTCACTGTGCTTATACTTCTGAAAGGGTGTGGCATGCCCTTTTGTCTCTTCCCCAAAGCCCAGGACTGCAGATGGGCAGGATTTACTGACTCGAGGAGTTCAATATTCGTGCAGACAACAGGTGTATAGTATCTTTAAATGAACAAGTGATGCTATGAAAGTGTGACCCGGAGAGGGGAAAAAAACCATTTTATGCCGGGTGGTGGTAGCACATGCCTTTAATCCTAGCACTTGGGAGGCAGAGGCAGGTGGATCTCTGTGAGTTAGAGACCAGCCTGGTCTACAAGAGCTAGTTACAGGACAGGCTCCAAAACTACACAGAGAAACCCTGTCTCAAAAAAAAAAATCACATTCAACAAAAATTCTAAAAAACCTGCAGAGCAAAACTCATGTGAAAAAGAAAAAGATGGGAACTGGGGAAGTCTTGGGAAGTGCTTCTGAGTTCTGTCCCCAAAGGGCCTGACTGCTTTGCCCTAAAATATAGTGTTGTCTTGGGAGACGGAGGTTCGGAAGCATGCTAGATGTCACAGGCCTACGCCTGTGAGGAAGCAGCAGGAGAGCTCCACAGAGGTGTGACACCATGGTGGCCAAGGCTGCCAAAAGGATAGTGATGGTTCAGCACCAGGCCAGGGGAGCAGCATGAAGTTTAGACGGCCCCCAAAACACCTGCCTCCTAGCTCCTGCTTCTGCCTGAGTCCCCACACAACATCCTGACTCTTTGATGCCCCCCTTTCCCGTCCAGCTTGCCTCAAATAAGGACAGCCTGTTGCCTGGACAGCAAACTGAAGTGAGCCAATCTGAGGGTCACAGAAGACCCCCCTCTCACTTAGGTTATGCTCCTCTGCCAAGTAGAACAGACATGGGTTCCTGTGGTGACTGCAGTTCCTATGTTCACCAGCAGGGGAGCAAAGAGAATGGCCTCATTCAGCTGTGCCTGAAATGAGGGTTTGGGGCATGGGACAGCTGTGTGGTGAACAATGGACCACAAGGTCTCAGACCAAGGCAAACATTGGAATGGGCTGGTGCCAGCCAGCTGCTATGATTGAGGAGCAGGTCACTGGCTCCCGGGAAGTCAAGTTGACACCTCTAGGCTTGGCTGCAGGGACAGAGCTGGGAAAAGAGCCAGCAGTTGTGACTCTGGTGGCTGGGGTCTGGAACAGCTACCGAAGGAAGGAATGGCCAAGGCACCCAAACACTGAGAAGAAACACCCACTGTATGCCAAGCATGGATTGGCATAAGCAATAACTTGGTAGCCAGGTAACCATAGCAACCACTTTGTCCACGGTGACTACCATCACTTCCTGTCTGGACTGTGGCCTCCTAACAGGGTCTGTGTGTTCAGCGTTGGGCATGATTGGCATATGAGGCATGAAGTGGTTTTTGTTTTTGCTTTCAGTACACTTTCCTTCCCACCCCCACCCCATCCCCCGTCGTCCCAAAGACAGGGTTTCTCTGTGTAGCCCTGGATATCCTAAAACTAGCTCTATAGACCAGGCTGGTCTCGAACTCCCAGGGATCTGCCTGGCTCTGTTTCCCAAGTGCTGGGATTAAGGGCATTCCCACTGCAGTCCATTGTTTTTGTTTTCAAATCACACCAGATTTCACAATCTCCGTGCACAAAACCTTCCCCAGAGCTGAGCCTGTTACCTAGTCCTCGAGAGAATGAGGCAGGAGACTCCCAAGTCTGGGGTCTGCCTGGGATACAGAGTGAATTCATGGGTGATGCTAGGCTACAGCTTTGTGATACAGCGCTTGCTGGCCATGAGCAAGGCCTTTCAGGGTTCCATTCTCCTTGATTCCTATCTCAGAGCAAAAGCTCGAAGTGTGGCGATGGCTGCCAGCCGTACCTAACCTGCTCACAGCCCCTAATGCTATCCCACTTCTCCCTTCCTACAACACACCCCAGGGCCTTTGACCCTCCTCATCTGTGATTCCTGCCTTGCTCCCTCACACCCTCCCTGGGGCCTCAGCAAGAACCCCTCGTCTTTGCTGCCAGTATTTTCCCAGAAGATTTCCTGTCACAGATCTGAAAATCCACTAGTTTCTTGTCTTCCACTTGTAAACTCCATGAGAGTTCAGTTGCCAGCTCAGTCATGAGCTCCTAGAACAACGGCTGGCACTTAATAGGTGCCCCAAATTTCTGCTAAGGGTGGATGCCGCAGACCTGAAGCCTAAACAGATTTTCCCTTCGTGGAGTCCTGCTTCGTAGTCCCCTGAAGGCGGAGATTTAAATGAGTTCACCAGATCCAAGATAAACGATAAATAGGTGTTTATCAGGGAAGACCGCCACAGCCTTCCTGCTCCAGAAGATGCCGTCTCCACCCTTCTGATGCTCTCTGGAAGCCAAGAGAGCACGAGTTAGCCCCTCCACTACCTTAATGGGTCAAGTCTGCACCTGAAACTATACCCAAAGGTTGTGGCCCCTACTACAAGTTCACTGGCAGGGCAAGATGCCACTGCAGCCGCCCTCCCCGACGACTCCCTGGGGACCCCACTGTAGACCAGAGGTGAGCACACTTATTCTATCATCCATGTTTTACAGGTGAGGAAACAGGCCTAGAGAGGTGCAGCCTGCCGATGGGCCCAGGACCCTGCGCTGAGTAACTACTGAAGCTGCTTCTCAGTGACACACCCACTGCTGCTCATTGTGCAGTCTTTTGAAATGGACAGGACGATGGGACACCCAGAGCGACTTCTCAGAGGCCACACAGCAAGCAGGACACTCAGGTCAGCCTGCCTCTGTCTTAAGTCCCCCACCCTGTCTGACCCACAGAACTCCCAAGCAACTGGCCTGTGGCTTCCCAAGTCACCTTGTATGTCAGCCAGACTTCCATTACTGTAACAAATACGTGACGTAAATCAAACTAGAAGGAGAGAAGGTGAATTTGGACTTAGAGGTTGACTCCATCTCTTACAGGTTCCACCGCTTCTCCACAGCACTAGACTGAAGACAGCACCTGGCTTGAAGAGGTTGGGTAGTGGGGCTTTGGCTGGCTGTATTGTAGGACACAGGATTTGCTAAGCACTGGTGGTCCTGGACCCTACCCAGGTCTTTCTGCACCACCCTCTGCTATTTGGTGATATGTCTATGGGCTGGTAACCTATGGCCTTGATCTGGGTTCTTTGCTTCGATGTCACACATATGTATTGGGTAGGGGCATTACCCATGGAAAGGTTCCTCTAGTTTCATGAGCCATTGGGCCACGAGTCTGGGAACTGTGAAGGGCCCGTAGGGTCCACAGGGACTCTATCCAGACTTCATTGCATACTTCCCCTTTAAAATGCACTAAAGAGGTGCCTGTGGAATTGACCTCCAGGTCCATCCTAGTGTCAAGATTGTGTACTCTGAAACTATACTTGTCTCCTTCAGCCTGGTAAGTAGTACTCAGTGGGTGTTGGGCTTGCGTTTAATGAATGAATGAATGTCCAATCAAAAGGACATACTCTCCAAGGGGGTCTGTTTTCTAGGCTATGTGCTAGGACACTCAGGAGGATTGACTAAGTGCTTTCATGAGGAGCCTATGGGGTCAGCTCACAACCATGTCTAGGTAACGACCAAAGACACACAGACCCAGAAAGCTGAAGCACCAGGTTTAGGGCCCCACAGCTGGAAGGTGTGTGGTATCATGATCCCGGCCTTCAACCACAGCTCCTTGGAAATACCAGACTGCAGGCTCCTGAGCATGCTGTGGAGCCTGCAGCAAAGGTGTCTCCAGAACATAGGCCTTGGCAGAGCAGCTCTGACAGATGACCTCCACCCACAGCCCAGATGGAGGTGGCCATGCCCAGGCCAACATCAAAGTCTCTGGAGTAAAGGCCATTGGAGAATTGAACAACTAAGCACAAAGCCAGTTTTATGCGGTGCAAGACCCGGCACATAAAGAAATACCACATCATGGGGATTGCCTTCATTCTTATTTTTCCATCATAAAACATGATGTCATCATGTGGATCTCCTTTCTTCCACACCATCAGTTCTTGCTGCAAGCCAGCCCTGGACCCAGGGAGCTAGTGGCTCATGGGATAGCACTTCAGTGTAGACATTACCATGTGATGTCCCTGCTGTGATATGCCTATAGTAGAGACGAGTCTCTTACAAGACCCCTGAGAGAAGCAGCTTTGCTTTGGTTTGCTCTGATTCAGTCTGAACATGCAGTTTGGCAGGGAAGGTGTGGCAGCAGAAGAGTGAGGAGACTGGCCACCCCTTGAGATGAATTCTGGTGCTCAGCTTGCTTATTCCTTGTGTTCAGTACAGGACCCCAGCCCATGCAGTGATGGTGCCCACATTGAACGTAGATCCTCCAATCTCATTTAATCTAGTCTAGAAAACTCATTCATAGACACATCCAAAGGTTTGCTTCCATGATTATTCTAAACCCTTCCAAGTTAGCAAACAAAATTGCCCATTACAGAGCCCTGCCCTACTCACTCAGCACCCTTACCCCATCTGTTCCTCAGTCTCATATGCGCTTTAGGGAAATCACTCAACAGCCTTCCAATGTCTTCCTCTCCAAGCCTAGTGATAGATACATGGCAATAAATGCTCCAACAAAATCACTGCAACATACCAGTTGGAGATGGGCAGGATTAGCAACTTGATCACTGAGAAATTCCTTGGGTATTACAAGTCATACCTCTGGGTGTTCATGTAAAGCATTTCCTAAGAGATGAAGCAAGGGGGATAGCCCTTCCAGGATATGGATAGCATGCTCGAGCCATGAAAAAATATAGAAATCCAGTAGTCTAAACTTCAGACCCCCACTCTGCTTCTAGGGGCTATGGGGACAATGGCCTGTTCCTGCTGCTCTGAGGCATAGTTTTGTCACAAGCCCAAGCACAGAAACCACAAGCTCAGGACTAATACCTCTGAAACCCTGAACCAAAGCACACCCAGCCTTCCCAAAATCAATTATTAGGACAGTTAATAGCAACAAAAGCTGACACTACACTGATTTCCCAATGACCTTGTCCTGAAATACCATCCATCCATCAATATTTATTCACATATTCCTCCACCCACCCACTCATCAAGGCTTTCACTCACTTATACATTCACCAGCCCATCTACCAACCCATCTATCCTTCTAACCATTCATCCACACATTTACCTACTCATCCATCTATTGAGACATCAACCCAAGAATCATCCATCCATCTACTCACCCACCCATCATCTGTCTTTTCATCCATGCATCCATCCATCCATGCATCCATCCATCCATGCATCCATCCATCCATCCAACCACACACTCATCTATCCATTCATCCATTTATTCACTTACTATTCAATCATATGCTGGTATACTAAAAAGTGTGGTAAAGCTTTTCTGAGATTTCCTGGTCAGAGACTGACAATGCCCTGAAGCCTATGCTGTTAATACCCATTTTTCTCATGTGTTACCCTCTAAGAGACAACCTCCACCCCAAAGCCTCAAGTAATGCTTCTCTCCCTGGCAGCCCTCTCTTCCTGTTTGTGTTTTTCCCAGCTTTTGCCATAGTGTTTTCAGCATATAGTCCTTGCTCTACTCCCCACTCACTCCTACTGTCTCTCAAGAACTCAGGGTGATCCTGGTGCAGAGAGACTTTGAACAAAATGTGGAATAGAATAAGGGTATGGAAGGGACCCAGAATCTGCAAGAGGAAGATATGTGCTATTTTCCCTTATGATATTAGAAGGGGTGGCTTGAGCCCCTCTGAGATACCAACTCCCTGACTCTGACATCCTTCAAGGTGGGTGGTCTCCCCTCCTCAGAGACAAGCACAGCTCCTGGCATACTCTTCTCTGGTTCCTGCCATTTTGGTCTTCTCAGTTCCTCGTCATCTGTCTGGTGTCCAGAGTCATCCTACCTGGGGAGGGGCATTTCTTTAGCCCATGCCCTTCTCAAGTTATGGCTTCTTCATGAGACAAAGGAGGATGTGCACTGGGTATTCACTTGAGTCTCAGAGAATTCCCATTTCTCCTAGGTGTCTGCACTGGGACAGGGTTTAGATGTTTCCAGAACCTGAAGGCAGATACCTCACACTGTCTCACTGGAGGCCTTTTGTTCCAGGAGGAAACTGTCCACCAAAGAAACCAACTTGATTACAGGAACAGGAGGGCTGGAAGGCATGCTCAGCATTTTCTAGGTGGACTGCATTCTCCCCACACAGAGGATGGAACAGGCTGAGCATCAGTCCTGGCCTGGGGGCCCTCAGGACTGCCTCTGCCACTAAGCCACTTCTCTTTAAGCATTACTGCCAAGGCCATTGGTTGGGGGTACTCTTCAGTGGTCCCAGATGCATTGCACATGATCTGGTAAGGAACCCAAGTACCATTTGCCATGGATAATAAACACTGTCCAGAAGACTTGCGCCAAGTGAGTCCCTTGGATTGGGAGCATCAAACCATGAAAGGCCTTTGACAAAATCCTTTTGCCTCAAGAGACTGACTCTGAATTACAGGCTATTATAGGCACTTAACCTGCTTGGATTACTATTTTTCACACTGAGCATGAAGATGGCCACCTCTCCTTCTTTGCACGTTCTGTTTTCTGAAGGGCCAGTGGACACACCAAACCTCCTGCCACTCTGCTCCTCGTGGCTCACAATCACACTAGTACTCAAAGAGTCAACCTCCGGGACCGGTGTTGAGCAGGGTTGGAGCAGGCTTTGTCAGCTGCATCATGTGAAATGAAGATAGCTATTTTACTTGTCTTCTAGGGAGGGAGCTGAAGTCTCTTGGGTGTTGGGGGTCAGTTATCTTCTGTAGGGCCAGCGGGAACACGTAGAGTGCTTTGCAGACTGGTAACTCAGTAGCCATCGGTAGTTTAGTTTGAGAAAACTGGTGACCTTTGGAAGTCACCCACCATAGTTTCCCAGAGCCATCGTGCAGAAATGACGGAATCATCTGGCATGGAGTCTTGAGAACATGTCTCTCTGGTAGCTGTATTGGTGTATATTTGTGGGGTTGATTCTATGTGCCAACTTGGCTTGGCTACCAGGTGCCCAGACATTTTGGCTAAACAGAATTTCTGAGTGTATTTGGGAGATTTTCTTGTAGGAGGTGGAGGCAAGGCTAAAATTCAAGTGGTGGCCAGAGAAATGTAGGTTGTCTTCCTCCAGTGGACCATGTGTCCCTGTGGGCCTCTCCCTCTACAGACCACATTACCCATGTGAACCACATCTCTCTGTGGACCTCATCTCCAAGTGTACCACATCCATCTGTGGACCTCACCCCTCTGTGGACCACATCCCTCTGTGTACTGACCTCTCTGTGGATCTCACCCCTCTGTGGACCTAACCTCTCTGTGGACCACATCTCCCTGTAGACCACCTCACTTGTGATTCACATCTCTTTGTGGACCACATGTCCCCATGGACCTCATTCCTCTGTGGACTCCATCTTTCTCTGGACCACATCCCTCTGTGGACCTCATCCCTCTGTGAACTACATCTGTCTGTGGACCTCATTCCATTGAGAACCGCATCCCCTGTAAACTTCATCTCTTTGTGGACCACATTCCCTCATGGCACATGTGGACCACATCTCACTGTCAACCACACCCCCTGAGAACCACATCCTCATGGGTCACATCTCCCTGTGCATTAAATTTCCTCATGGACCACATCTTCCTATGAACCACACCCTCACCAGCTACATCCCCAGCGTATCCCCACTCCCACCCTCATGAGCTTCTGGCAAGTTGCTGCCTTTTGTGTATCACTGAAGACCCAGACCAGTTCCTCCTGCACACTCACTCACTAGCTAAGAGCTCTACTGTTCCCCAGTCCAGTGTCATGCCAGGATACTCCAGATACACCAGACACTCCAGATATTCCAGACACTGTTACTCCAGACACTCCAGACACTCCAGACACTGTTACTCCAGACACTCAAGACACTTACTCCAGATACTCCGGACACTGTTCCTCTAGATACTCCAGACACTGTTACTCCAGACACTCCAGACACTTACTCCAGATACTCCGGACACTGTTCCTCTAGATACTCCAGACACTGTTACTCCAGATACTCCAGACACTGTTACTCCAGACACTCCAGACACTGTTACTCCAGATACTCCAGACACTGTTGCTCTAGATACTCCAGACACTGTTACTCCAGATACTCTAGACACTGTTACTCCAGATACTCTAGACACTGTTACTCCAAACACTCCAGACACTGTTACTCCAGACACTCCAGACACTGTTACTCCAGACACTCCAGACACTGTTACTCCAAACACTCCAGGTACGGTTACTCCAGATACCCCAGGTACTGTTACTCCAGATACTCCAGGTACTGTTACTCCAGATACTCTAATCACTGTTACTCCAGAATCTCTAGACACTGTTACTCCAAACATTCCAGACACTGTTACTCCAGATACTCCAGGTACTGTTACTCCAGATACTCCAGACACTGTTACTCCAGATACTCCAGACACTGTTACTCCAGACGCTGTTACTCTCCCTTCTTACAATTGAAGACTCTGACACCCACGAAGGGCAACGGTCTTTCTTATGCAGTAAGGTCACACAGCTTAAGGTCAGGAGACCTGGAGTTTGAGTAGAGTCCCGGTTCTGATCTATCACATCTTTGGCACACTCGGTGGGGACTTAAGTTTCCTCAGTGCGGGCAAAGTCAGGCTAAGAGCTGAGTACTCACAGGGTGCTCACGACCTGACAGGTGATCAGAACTTCACCTCATCTATGACTGTCATCACTGTCATGCCTGAGGCCTGACTCTGTCCCCTGTGGTCCAGACCCAGCTTCAAACATCAACTCTCTTGGTCTTTGTAGTTGGTAACAGTAATGGGGACTTTCCCATCTTCCCAGATCTGACTTTCCCCAGCTGTGTGTCTTTGGCGGGGTTATTTACCCTCTCTTGTCTTTACTTTCCTTATCTATGATTTAGGAATGATAGTGGTGTTTGACAGGGCAGCCATGGTTGGAATGTGAGCGGAAGGGAGGCTTCCTGGAAGCAGGAACTGGAGCTAACTGGAAGGCAATGGTGAGCCATGGAAAGTTGTAGGCAGGAGAGGGCTGGCTGAGGTCAGCCAAAGGTTTGAGAGAGACTGGAACACGGAAGGCAGGCTGAGATGGGTTTGTCCTCACATTCACATGCAGAGAGGGACAAGATCTGTCTGTCTGTTTAGCAATGCCATATTTCTGGGGGAGGGGAGATTCCTCGCACAACTGGGGCCGTCTTTGATGAGCAGTTCATCTTCTAGGCCTCTCCAACTAGTGAGGCAGGATAAGCCACCCTGGAGCAAGGAGTTAGTTACTGCTGATTTGGGGGTCCTTAGAAGGTCACTGCAGCAGGGGCTTGGGTGAGAGGGGGAACCGCAAGGCATTCCTCAGAGCTGCCTCCTCTGAGCCTCACTGGCCAGGAATGCCAGGGGCTGGTGCTTATCTCTCTCCCAAGCATCCTAGCAGGATGGCTCCCACACTATCTGTCCAGACGGGTTCTCAATCAGGGCTCCTCCCCGTCCAGGCACAGGTGATGCAGAACCAGACTCTCTGCCAACCTGGACACTAGGAAGTAGGAAGCAAGCAGTCACACAAGCCGTGGCCTCCTGGGATTGCCAGGGTGCCTGCTAACTGGACATTGCGTCACAGCAGGGGCCAGTGTGGACTCTGGCAGGTTTGTGTTTGAGTTTATCTCAAACCTGCCTCAGTTCCCTCATCTCGGAAATGGCTTCTCTTGGGTGGCGACAGGGAGTGTCTGCCCCAGCCTTAGCCACTCTAGCCAGCCTGGCTGCTTGCTCTATGCCTCCCCCTTCCTCTCTCTTCTGTCTCATCAAGTATGCACACACTCACGCCGAAGGGGCTGTCTGATGGGGCACTGTGGCTGCCCGCAGCTTTGCCCAGAACCCAGTTCTTCCTTCTGCCAGCTCCCTGAACATTCTAACACCTTCCTAAGACTTTTCCAGCTTGGCTAGAACCCATTTATTATGGGACTTCCTTTTGGGAGAGTGTGTGGGTCAAAAGGAGGACCCCCCCACCTAGTTCTTGAAATATAGCACCGGGTCTTCCCTTCCTTCCAGCCTGGTTTCACAGCCTGGTGGAACACAGAAGTTATAAATAACATGCGGTAGAATACGCTAGAAGGTGCTAAGTGCTATGGGAGGAAAGCAGGCAGGGGAGGGGAGGGAGACTGGGTGATGCGGAGGTGGGAGTGGGTGCTGGGGTTTCGACAGGGCTTCTATATATAGTCTCATCTCTTCCTGTAGGGGCTTCCAGTTTGACGTCTGTCTGACGACGTGCACCATCCTGCGTGCTAAGCCCGTAAGCACAGGTTCACATGTGCATGTGTGTGCATGAGTTTTTAGGGTGTGTGTGCAAACAGTCTGCACACCTCCGAGTGTGAAGACACCCCCCCCACACACATACACACACACACACATCCACGATATGATACCAGAGCAGGGAAATTTGGTAGACCCTTGTGACAATTTCTCCGCAGACTAGCCCTAGACACCACTCAGTGCCTCCCAAATTCTCCATCTTGAAAATGACCTGTCTATTCTCAGATGGGGAAACTGAGGCTTTGAGAGGCACAGGGTCTCATCCAATGGCCCTTAGCTTGAGGAAATCTTGGCAAGGGAGGGACTCCTGTCTTTGAGACTCCCAGTGGCTTTTCCATAGAGCCAGGCAGTGGAAACACAGGGAATAAAGTTCAAGCCTGATTTTTCTTCCTGTCCCTCCCGCCCCGGAGGCCACTTAAGCAGCATATAACTGCTCTGTGATGTATGGAACTCTCTGGCCGCGCATAAACAGAGGGTCACATGCCAGGCAGGAATGCCCATGGACTTCCTCCCGTTCAATGAAATACGCGCCTCGTTTGACTGGGGTTTGTTTTATTAGACCCGTGGCAGTGAGGGGCCGGTGTAGCCAAACCCGCTTTCCATCACTCCCTTCTCCTGAGAAACAGAGGCCTGGTACAAGGAAGGAAGGAAAGCCTTGCTTGCTTCCTCCAACCTTCCTCAAGACACATCCCCAGAACTAGATCTTCCTGGGCCAGGACAGGCTGCACTCAAGGCAAGCCCCTTGAGGCCTGCTTGTGCCTGAAGAAATGGCGTTTGATCTTTATGAGGGGACCATATTAGCGCGTTCTGCTGTCTGAAGGTGATGAGTTTTGCACAGTTCCTTGGAATTGCTTCCTACTAACTAATTAATCCTGTACCACACCCTTTGAGGCTACCTTGTTTGGAGAGAGATGTGAGCCAACATCTGGGATCTGGGACTCGGGGACACTCTGGGTGGGGCTTGCTTCTGTGGGACCTTGTCCCCCTGGGGTTTGTGACATAGCTGCTTTGTGGCAGTCCCCAGGGAGTATGAGGTAATCCTGACTGAGTCAGCCTGTGGAAAAGGAGAGCCGTGGCCTTGAATGCTCTGGGGTGAATTTGAGTGGGAAGGGAAAATACAGCTTAGATCTTCTGACCTGACCCACTTTGTTCTCCTGCAGAAGAGGGTTAAACAAAAGGCCTGGGAGCCAAATTGGACCTTGGTTCAAATCCTTCCCTGTGTGCTTCCCCTATACCCCACCATTTTTGGGGCGTCAGCATCATGCCAGCACATGTGCAATAGTACCCCTTGCTTCTCAGGGGTGCTAGGGGACTCACACAGCCCTGTGCCCCAGCCTGCATGCCAAGGAATAAGGGTGTGCCTGTTATGGCTTTGGATAGTAGTTCTCAATCTCCCTAATGATGTGACCTTTAACACAGTTCCTCATGTTGTGGTGACCCCTGATCATGAAATTATTTCCATAGCTACTTCATAATTGTTATTTTGCTCCTGATATAAATCATAATGTATCTATGCTTTCTAATGGTCTTAGGCCGTTACCCACAGGTTGAGAACCACTGCTCTAGATTAGCAGACCTTGAGACTGAATTAAGCGCCAGTCTCCCCAAGCAAAACATTATGCAAATGAGTGGGTGTGTCTGTGTGCCAACAAAACTTTCTTTTCTGAACATAGGCTTCCTGTATGAACAAGCACTGACCACTGAGCTGCAAACTGAATCTCTATCTCAGGCAGTTCTCCAACCTGGATCTCAGCCTCCCAGGTATTTCAGTGTGAATGCATTTACAGAATTAAGTATCAGGGTGGGTGTGATTTTTGGTGAGCCACGGTTTTAGTATGGATCTGGGGTGCATGTGGGTTTCACTGCTGGGATACGGCTGTGGCCTTGCATCAGCAAGGCTGGGAGGGTCTCATAGTCTCACCCTTTCCTTGGCTGTGACACACATTCATGAGACGCCTTTTCAACATCCAGCATATTCTAGGGCCTTTGTCAAGGATATCTTCCAGAGCCTTCGATTCTTTCTCTTCCAACATTGAGACCTTCAGGAAGGATTGCTAAGAGTTTGTGCAGCCGCATGTCATCTACGAAGGACTCTATCCAGGACATGTGAGTAGGTAATTCCATTTCTGTGTGGAGGTCACAGATACACAAGTTAAATGGCTGCAACATGTCTGGGCAATGTGGTCTCACAGAACCCCTGTTGTATTTGAGGGCATGGCACCTGCTGTGTCCTGCTCGAGGTGGTTTTCCAAGGCCACCCATTGCCAGATGCAGGGAGCAAAGTGGGCTTCAAGAGGTGCGGAGACTCTCAAGACCACACAGAGTTGGGAACTGAGTGCACTCGTCCAAACACCAGCATCTGCTTCCCCATCCTCCCTTCCTGCTGTCTGCAGAGGCAGGCAATGCGGGTACAGACATCTTTCTTGGCCAGAGTGTGTCACCCTCATACACAGCCCTGCGGTTCCTCGGCTGGAGGGCATGGACAAGCAGCAGAAACCTGGAAGCACCCCGGCCTCTTGTTTTGGGTGCCATAAGGTTCTGCATCCCCCACCAGCCAACATCTCCAAATCCCAGGGGACCATTGCATGTTGGAGTCTCCCTCCACTGGCTGAAATGCTCTCCATTGCCAAGTGCCCCCAAGGAATCGTAGGGTGGGAGATATCATTTATCAGAAAGAGCTGGCCTTAGGCCAGTTGTTTCCCGTCTCAGCCAGTGAGGGGAAGTGCTCAGACAGATATTCCCACTTTACCCCACTCTATTTTCCTCTCCACTTATCTGATCCTTGGCTCTGGCTTTATTTCCTCAAGCTGTGAGATGCCCCGAGGAACTCTGCTATTTTCTTTGAAGTTTGAAGAGCTGAAGCCTCCACCCCTTTGTCAGTCTCTAATCTCCCACGCCACCACTGCTGCCAACTAGCTGGTCTAACCAGGATGCAGAGGAACTGGGTGACGTATAAGGCAGTGCGCCCCAGGGGGGTGAGATTTGGAGGCTCAGTATGGGGACATACCTGGAGATGCCAGGGGCCACCCCGTGTCTTGACTTCTCTGAAATGCCTGCACTGGCTCAAAGCCTCACTGTGATATATGACCTCCTTGAAGGCAAAGATACCGCCTTTAGCTTTAGTGTCTCTGGTCCCCACCCACTCATTTCCGGTCCCTGCCCACCTAGTTAGGTGGTTCCATAAGGACCCTTTGTCATTGCATTTAGCCCACACTGGGTAGGCTACTGCATTGGAAGGCTTCTTCCCTTGGTGCATGCTCCCCCCACACCCGCCCCGGTGCCATCTGTCCAAGGTCCTACATTCTTCTTCTTCTTGGGCACTATAGTGGCCCTCAGAGAGGTTTCTGACTCTACCTGAGTCCTTTCCCCAGTCCCGGGAGTCTGTCCACTCATGTATGAACACCCCTCACCCATCACCGGGGCTGGTCAGAGGCAAACAACAACACCTAGCATGTAATTCGTCTCATTGGCATACGGCCCAGTTCAGGTGTCAATCCAGATCTTCCCCAGCCTCGGTTCCTCCACCTTGAAATCTGTCTCCCATAAACTCGTTGGACACATGGCCATCTTTGAACCTTCTTCCCTTTTCCTGTTGTGTGACCTTGGATGTGCCCATTCATGTCTCCAGATTGGTCTCTTTAATAGGTTGAGTAGAGGCATGGATTATTTTCTTTTCTTGAGTCAGGGTCTCTCTACATAGCCCTGGCTGTGCTGAAACTGGCTCTGCAGACCAGGCTGGCCTCAAGCTCTCAGAGATCCACCTGCCTTTGCCTTCTAAGTGCTGGGATTAAAGGTGTGCTCAGTATGCTCAATGCACACCTGTTTCTCAAAGCTCTGATAACCATGGAGCCAGAGATGAGCACAGGGTGTGTCTCATGGGACAGTAGACACAGGGTGTGACCTCCAGTCATGGCTTCACTGAAGACTCAAAATGAAGACTTTGTGGTAAGCCGTGGGGCCTCTAAAAACGTTGCTCAGAAAGCTTAGGAGGGTTTCTCCAGGAAGTGGAGGCAGTTACCTCCTCTTCCACCGCCTCCTGACTCTTCTACCCACACCCACGGCTGATGCTCAGGGCTCCTTGCACTTCATGCTCTCAGGTTCTCAGTGTCCCAGCACCAGCACTCTCAGAGACGGACTAGCACAGGGATCCTCAGTGGGGGCCCCAGACTGTCCCCTCTGATAGAATTCAGACCAGACCAGGAGAACGAAGGACTGGAGAGGTGGCAGTGAGCCCCTCTGCCTCCCTTGTCTCCAATCACTCAGCCCTGCGGGTGCCCCAGAGCCACCTTGGCTGTGTATGGCCTTGGCACAAGGTGTCCCATTTCTGAGAGCTCTTCCTTCCCCCAAGATGGGGAGAGAGAGAAGAGAGGGGGAGAGAAGAAGAGAGAAGGAAGAGGATTTTCATTTACAGCTTGAGCCTGTCACTATATGCAGAGCACTGTTTGAATGGGCTGTTTGTGTGCCTGAGGCCCACAGCTGAGGCTCACTAGCCATGCCTTGGCTGCAGTGAAGACCTGGCTTGGGAGCTCAGCCCTGGCTTGTAGCTCAGAGGAACCCAGCTTTCTGAGTCCAAGTCCAAGGTGAAATGCCTCCAGAGCACGGGCTGGAGGGGCCTGCTTAGAGACCCTTTCTCAGCAGAGGCAGGCTAGATGGAGAAGAGCAACAGGCCAGAAGCAGAGGCCAGGTTTGGTCTGGGCCACGGGACCCCAAATCCCATCTCCAGGTGACTCAACGCCTGGTCTTGACCTTGGCATCGACCTCAAGATGCTGCAGCCAGCCTAGGATGTGCGTAAGAAGGTCTCCACACCCAGCTGTGGCTGGCCTCTGTGGGGCCGGGTTACCCGAGGCCGGGCTTGCATCATCTCAGATTCTTTCCCTTCCCCTCACGGCTTCGTTTTGGCTGCTTTGCTGGCTGCAGTCTATCAGCACCAGCCTGCTTTGGAATGGGTCCTATTACAGCCACAGATGGGGCCCAGGGACACAACCAAGGTACACCCAGAGCAGGTGGCTTGCCTGGGAGCCAGGGAGACATTGACGTGCACACAACAAGGTCCAAATGCCAGGAGAGGCACAAAATCATCCAGATATTGAGCCCCCATCAGGACACAGGAGTCAGGACAGCTGGCCAAAGGCAGCTTGATCAGAGAAGCCCAGCCCTGCTCAAGACAGCCACAGGAAGTGACTGAGCCCAGGGCCTAGGCCAAGAGCCCTGGCAGGCCAGCTCTGCAGCCTGGGGAGTCTCTGGACTCCTCACATTACAGGAGCTGTTGTCATGGTTACTGGTAGTTATAAGGTCTAGCAAGTGGAAACACATGACACCCCGTTACTGTTGAGCTTTAGATCATCAGTCAGTGTAAGTCTACCCCAGACAGTGCTTGGGAGATACTTATCCTAAAGGACATTCTTTGTTTCTCTGGAATTCACATATACCAGGGCCTCCCGTGTTTGACCCATCAAGCTATGGCATCATTATTGTTTAAAAAAATCCCTTGTACAGAGGCATCCCCTCCTTCGCATGTGTGGAGTCCACAGATGACAGCAGCTCAGATACTGTTTCTACTAGACCGAATGTTAGGTAACAAATATGGGTGCCAGCAATGTCTATGTTGATATTAATTAATAACAGCTGAAGCAAATGTTAGCTCTCATTCACGGAGTGTCTGCTCTCCCCCAGACATGCCTTTCGCTCAACTTTGTCATGTCACCACTCTGTGCCCTGGTACACTGTGACGGCATCCCGCCGTCCTCACTGGCTAGGCCGTTCACAGGGTTCTTTCAAAATAAATGCTACAAAACTGTGGCCCTTACTACTCACAGTGGAGCACTATGCTTGAGTGACTTGCAGGGGTCACCTCTCCTACAGCGTCACCCGTTCCATACACAGAAATGATGTCTAGGTCATTGCAACTTCTCCATTTTGAAAATGGGGAAGTTGAGTCCTAAGATTAGAGGCATCAGAGGCAGAAGGCTCAGACCCACGGGAGGCATCTGGCTTCTGCCCCGAGCTCCACACTTCCCCTGGGTCTCATCAGTCACATGGTGCAGTCAGGTTAAGTTGGATCCAGGCTAAACAAGCACCTGCAGTGCACATCCCCAGCTACACCTCTGGACCCCGCCTCCCCTGCTGCAGCATGCCCCAGATATGCCTCACGGACCCCCCCCCACTTCCTCTAAGAACAAAGCTATCACCAAGTCTCTGAAGGGACCTGGGACAAACAGTCCCAGGACTGAGGACTAGTGCCCTCCCTGGGGGGGGGGTTGGCAGGGAGCTTAAAGGGCACTGTTACAGGGAGGTGGAATGGAATAGTTAATTTTCTTCATCACGCCAGCAAAATGCCTGATATACTTACTAGAGAAAAGGGTTCATTCTGTCACAGTTGAGGGTACAGTCCATCGGGACAGACAAGGCATGAGACAGTGCCCCACACCACATCTGCAGTCGGGATGCACAGAGAAACCAATGCCAGTGGTCAGTTCAATTTCTCAGTCTCATCCAGTCCTGGAGTCCTGCTGAAGGATGCTGTGGCTCATGTTTAGGGTGGGTCTCCCACCTCAGTTAACCTAAAGTAGAAACTCCTTCCCAGACATGCCCAGAGGCTGTCTCCTACATGATGCCACAGTCCGTCCATTCGACAATATTGGCATTTTAACCAACAGAGGCACTTCAGGGCTCTGTGACTTAGAGTGCACTCCCCAGCCTCTTGGCCCTGTATCTCCTGTCTCTAGCACAGGAGTAATCACAGTCACGATGTGCTGCTGTGGTCACTGTCAGGAGACAGCCACAGAGAAAGAGCCAGTGTGGCGGGCTTCTTCTAGGGGAGAATTCAGGAGGCCGACTCGGGGAGTGGGCAGCAGGAGATGTTCAGGAGCAGGTGACTGTGGGCTTGCTGGGATCCCTGGGGAGCCGATCAGACACCGCAGTGGACAGTTCAGCCAGGTACGTGGCACCAGGCAGTCATTCCTTATTCTGCTGTCTCCACCTGAAATGATGGCACAGGTTGGACATGTCTGACCCTGAGAGCCAGAGGGAAGCTGTGGCTGAAGAGGGTAGCCAGTGGTAGGACCTTGGGAGTCAAGTAGGCACAGATACAATCCAATCGCAGCTATACCCTTCTGTTAAAACACTGACCACAACAGCAGCATTTAGGCGTCGTCAGTGATAAATGGCAACCCAGGCTGAAAACCCAGGGACTCAACCTCATTCAGGGCCCCTAAGGCCAGTGCTATCCTGGGATGCCCAACTGCCCAGAGAAGTACCCCCAAGTCTCCCTGTGCCCCCAAGGAGAGCCTGGGGAAGCCCTCTGGTTTCTGAGTGACTTGGGTGTTGCCTGTCCCCAGGCCTGCAATCCTACTGAGGGCACAAACTTCAAAATAGTGTGCCCACAAAATGTTCTCAGAGCTTCTGCGACGACAAACAGGCCCCTGGCTCTGATTTAGCATCATCCTAAGCTGAGGGGGAACAGGGAAGGGGAGGCCAGCGGGCCAGGCAAAAAATATCCAAGCGAAATGGTGGGGTCAACAGTGTGTCTATCGCCCACGGGGAAGAGACAGAATTGTTGCAGATGACTGCTGAGCAACCTACCTGGTGTCCGGGGTTTAATCTGACTCCTCTCTGTGTTCTCAGCTTCGCCGCTGCATGGTACCTGTGATTCTTCTTGGGTCTGTTTTGAAGATGAGAGAGAGGAGACTCGGGGAAGAACAGGGCCACATAACAAGGAATCAGCAACGTTAGGGAGAAGGACAGAGACGGGCTGCCAGCTACCACACAGCACGCAGGCCTCACGGAGTGTGGAGGACGCGGTGAAGCGACTTCGGCGCCTGGCCTCCTTTCCTGGCTCTCCAGTCCTCAGTAGCTAAGCGGCTTCATTTGAGCACGGTCATCTCTCTGGACTCGGTACTTCATCCGTAAGACAAGGCAGGCAGAGAGTCCTTGTTTACCGGCTTCAGTTGAAGGCTGATGTGACTGCTGTGAGGGGTCTCCCAGTCTCCAGGAGGCAGAAAGTAAATGGCTCCTAGACAGGAGCAGCCACTGAGCTGTCTGCAAGGACCCACACCGTCATCCCCGACTGCCTCACTGCCTCAGGCCTCAGTGGGGCTCATTGGTATGGCCTGGCAAGTGCGGGGACCCGGGTTCCATCCCCAGTACTGTAAAATATGACAAATATAAATCCCTCCCCTTAGTGATATCCCTCCTCCATACCCGCTGGAAAGAGATCTCAAGGGTCACCTAGGGTGGTACTGGCAGTGTCCTTCCTTAACCTGGCTCTCACGTGTGGCATTCAGTGAGCCTGCCCTAGCTTGCACAGTCCTTTGGGTCAGTCAACCACAACTAGTATGTGAAGCCTGGTGGCCTGGCCATGTCCCAGTCAAGTAGGCAGAGGCAGGAAAGACAGAGTTTCTTTCAGAACCCAGAATAGGTGTCAGAACCATCTTCCAGAGCTCATGGACCTCTGTCACAGCTGAGCTAAGCCTATGGGGTCAGACCACCCCAGGACCCTTAGGGTCCCCATGGGATGGAACTGGAGACATGCTATTGTCCTGCAGGGTGTCAGATCTGTGGGCTCCCATCTTCCTAGAGCCTCAGCCCATCTTGCTTCTCCCCTTGAACATGCTGTGACTGTATCTGTGACAGCCCATCTCTAAAACACACCATGAGGAAACCATTTGTATTTTTGCTGTTGTTGCCATACTGGGTCTTGAACCCAAGGTCTCAGTGCACTGGGTAAGAGGGACAACACCAGCTCCAGCTCACTTTGTTTTTCATTATTTATTCATTTATTCATTCATTCATTCTTTTTTGAGACAGAAGGTTGACTGAGTAGCCCAGATTGGATTTGAACTCATTCTGTAGTCCAGACAGGCCTTGTGTTTAATCCTCCTGCCTTAGCTTCTTGAGTAGCTGGGATTTCTGGCCTATGCCACCAGGCTCAATTCTTCTCTGAGAAAAAGGAGAGGAAAGGGAAGAGATGAGAGAGAGGAAGAGAGAGGGAGAGATGAGAGAGAGAGAGAGACAGAGGACAGAGAGAGACAGAGACAGTGAGAGGGGGAGAGAATAGAGAGAGGAGAGAGAGAGGAGATAGCAAAAAGAGAGAGAAGAGAGAGAAAGAGACAGAGAGAGGGGAGAGAGAGAAGAGAGAAAAGAGAGAGGAGAGAGAGGGGAGAGAGACAGAGACAGAGAGGCAGAGAGGGGAGAGAGAGGAGAGAGAGGAGAGAGAAGGAATAGAGAGAAGCGAGAGATCTTAAATGGGAGTGGCTCCCTCTGGCCTCTGGACTGAGTTACCTCACAGTCAGTTTTCTGGGTCAGGGTTGGGGGTACACGATGCTCTCATGCAAGGACTTTTGGCAGCTGAGAGAATTGGGTTCCTAAAGATTATTATTTTAACAAACCCAGCTTGGATGTGTCCAGAGTCGGCAGGAGGCTCCACAGCGCTCTCCAAGAAAGTGCTTTTCTGCTGGGGTTCTTATTTCAGTTAGGCCCAGGGAGGGGTTCTGTTTTGCTCAGCTTGTATTTCTGGAAAAACAGGCTTTTGGGAAGAGCTGGGGTGTGGATGGTGAGCTTGGTGGGTCTGGGGAGGGTAAGATGGGGGTGGCTGCAGGACCAGGGAGGCCTCCATCCTGCTGTCTCTACTTGCACTGGGGACCCCGGTTCTGGGGCCCTTGTGTCTCATTTCTGAGCAACAGTCTTTATATCCAGGTTTCCAGAGTATGGGGTGGCAGGAACATGGACTGGGCTGACGGTTCACCGTGATTGGCTATCATTTGGCTGTCAATGGTCACTGATTGCCTCAGTTTCCTCCACTGGGATAAAGAGCCTTGAAAGTTTGTGTGTGACCTGGCCCCAGCCACTCCCTTTTCCCAGATCCCCAGAGAAGCACTCACTCACCTGCAGTCGCAGACCCCTCCTTGTGTCTGGGAGCACCCTCTTGGGTACCGTCCTCTGTCTCATCGTCTGGGTATCCCAAATAGCACCTGACCTCCAGCATGAGTCGGAGGTCCTGTTGTGTGCTATCGTGCTGCTCTCCAATCCTCTGGCTGGAACGCACTAGGAGGCCAATCTGAAGTCACCACCTTGCTCCTTGTGGTGCTCAGTGGGGGCACAGGGACAACTCTTCCAAGGCATCTTGCAGATGTGTGCCTCTCAGCCAAGGGCAGAGCCCAGGACCACAGGCAGACAGACAAACAGATGGATGGGAGGCTCCAGCTTCTTGTCATAGTCAAGTGGAGCATCACAGCCTGATCCTGCCACCTTTAGTATTTAGTAGCCACATGCTCTACAGAACGCCCTTCAGACGACGGCAATCGCATTCTGTACTCCCAGCCCAGCTTCCTTCTAGGCATACCCCGAACCTCTGGGGCTGAGACTTCTCAAAAAAAAAAAAAACTCGTGCGGGATCCTGGGAAAGAAGTTCTTGCTTCTCTGTCTCTCCTTGGCTTCCAGGGGGACCCACCGTTCCTTCCAGCCCAGAGCGGCAGTGTTGTCCACACACCGCAAGTCTGGGTGAATGTGGAATGTCTCTGACTTTGGAGCCTCGAGCCCCGGACTTAGTTTTATGGGCTTTGGCTGTCGAGGGCAGCCGACGACTCCATCCATCAACCAAGGACCGCTCCAACACTAATGCTGAATTTATAGAAGTGGTTAAACAAAGTGTTGACAATATGGACGATGTGTTTCTGATTAACACACGATTCCGAGTGAAGCTGCCATCTGTGGGGGTGTGGGGGGGAGTCAGTAAAACACAGCAGTGAATTCCCAGGCTCTGGCGGCTCTGACTGGATTACCAGAGGTTGCACAAGGAGCTCCTGAGCCTGCTGCTGCTGTGAGGGCTCACACACAAACCCGGAGCCATCCCTCCCTTTCCCCTGCTCTCTGTTTTCTTGGGAGATTAGATCTGAGTTCTTTTCCAGCTTCAAGCATTCCCATCAGGAAATTCCGTCAGCTCCAGCGGTGTTCCCTCCAAATGCCTGCCCTCAGCCTGACCCCTCTCCCAAGGTGACCTGAATCATGGAGGAAGGGGGAGGGGCACTTATCTGCTTTCTGGGCACCACTGGTTTCTTTCTTGAATCATCTCTGGTCACCAAGAGAAGGGGTGAGGGACATTTGCATTTTAATGAGCCTCTTCTTCTGAAATAGTGTGCCGCTCAGTGCAAGTTGCAGATCTGGACCAGCGTGCCCCCTGTCTCCAGTTGCCCCTTATCTCAGCTTCCCCCATTTTCCCCCAGTGCATCCCATGACAGCTTTAAACGCCATAACCACAGCATATTGTTAGAGCTAGAGAATTGCCTTTGGTACCCAGCTGGGCCCCTTGCGGGTGTGGTTCATCATTGTTTTCTCTGTAAGATTTTAGCTCTGTAAGATTTTAGCATGTGTTCAGATGGGCAGCTGTGGCCACCTGGGAAGAGAGGGTTTCCCATTCTCACAGCGCAAGGCTTTTGGGCTATCCTTCTGATGCTCGTTGTGGGAGTGTCACAGACACGAGACTGAATGGAATGAAAGCTTCAAGATTGGCCTCCTGTTACTGTCTTTTTCAGGCAAAGTCTTGTTATGTAGCCTGGGTTGGCCCCTTATCTTCCAGACACCGAGATGTGCCACCACACCAGGCTCCATAATCGACCTTTGTTTCTTCAGCATTTCTCTTTTCATTGCCGAATAGTATTCCAGTGCGTGGATATACCGAAGTCTGCCCATGCACCGGTTGAAAACACCAACTGTAGAACACTGGCTATTGAGAGTCTTATGAATAAAGTGTTGATGAATATTCATAAGTGCTAATGAATATTAATAGGGAGGATTCCATGTGCACCTACAGTAACAGATAGGGTGTCAGAGGCAGAAGAGGAGGCAGGTCATAAAGTTGAACACAGGTTCGTCTGTGTCTGCCCAACTATGTCTAAGACTGAAACCCTTGTGGTTCAAACAAGCCTAAAGCCCTCCTGGGCCTGAGCAGAAGACACGGTGTTTATCTGCGATCTGACGCACCTGTAAGAGTGTGCCATGTCTCTCAAGGCACCAGAAGACCTACAGTGGAGACTGGACCTGGCTTAGTGGGACTTTCCTGGTACAGCTTGCAGTTCCCTAACCCTCCCATGCCTGCCTGGTGAGAATGTCCTTGTCATTCCCCTTTTCTTGGCCTTCCTCATGGTGTCCTCCACGGAGCACAGCACTCCACTCTGCCCGTCACATTCCTGTCTTTTAGCGGGCACCTCCTCACCGTGGCATTTCATCCTCATCTTTCCCCACTCTGAACTATGTACCTGCTGTGTAAACAGGCATCTACCCGTTGAGCCACGTGCTGCAAATGCTCAGGATCTGTGCGGTACTGAGAGACAGAGGAGCCAACAACTCCCGGGCCAGCTTCAACGGCTCGGCCTGCAGGCGCCGGCTTTGTGATTGGAGTTGGTTTGAGTCCCGTGTGTGCACCTGCAGTGTCTCTCTGGCCTTCTTTGCAGAGGACTGTTGGAGGGGCTTGGGGATGTCTAGACATGCATGTGTACATTCCTCCTGGTTCCTGATACTCTGTGCTCCGCTGGGGTGATGGGACCCAAGTCCCCAGAGTCAGTGACCCACCTCATCTTCACCCCCCTCCCCCGAGCATGACACAGGGCTAAAGAGGGAGAGCAGGTACAGAGGCCAAATAGGCACCAGTGTTAATCGTCAGGCTCTTTTCCCTCCGCCTCCCACCTGTAGCCCAGCTCCCCAGGGCCAGCAGCTCACACTGCACTTCATTTCCGCCCTCCCTGGCCTCCTGTGCCCCATAAAACTCCAGCTCCTCTTGTTTTCAGTTCAATTAAGGGACTGTAATTCCACCCAGAGGGCCACACACTGGAAGTGTGAACAATCGTCGAACTGGGCTGAAGGGAGGGTGGGAGAGGACCCCAGGGAGCCCCAAGGTGGGGAGAGGGAAGAAAGTCTTGTGAAAGTGAGCTAGTCCCTACTTCTGGACCACCATGGCACCCCCACCCTACCCCACCCTTACCCTCAGTTTCCCCATCTATGAAAAGAGTGCGGATCATGATCCCTGATCCTCCATTCATCCAGACACCAGCATTGATCTTTAAAAGCTAACTTAGTTACCAGCCAGCCAAGGCTGCACAGTGAGACCTTGTCTTAAAAAAAAAAAAAGACTAATTTAATGATGGATTAAAACTCCACCACCCGTGGACTCAGCCAGGAAGGCTGCCTGCAGGAATTTCTCCTCTGGAATGTTTATGCAGCTGCAGAGACTCCCTTTAAGGATGTCCACTGTAGGGGAGGGATGCAACCATTGTGCTGCAGCCTTGCCAGAAGAGGGGCTGAAGTCAGACCTGGTGACACGCTCGAAACCTGACACTTAGGTGAGACAGAAGATCAGGGTCAACCTCAGTTATGTAGGACCTTGGGGCCAGCATGGGCTTCATGGGACCTTGTGTCAAAAGTCTCGTATTAGCAACAATAATAATGACTAATGATAGAGGCTTATCTACACCCACAAGGCAATAGAAGCTATTCTTAAAGAAAAGTCTCTGGTGCCCTTGAGGGGGTGGGTTCAGGACCTCAAGACTCACCCCCAGTCTCTATCCTAGATGTCAGCCCCCTCTATCCAAGAGAGCCTTAGTGTCAGCATAGAATACCTGCACATCTTAAATCACATGTGGGGGCCTCCCTGCCTGATGCAACAGAAATACCATGAGGATATCATCAGGCTGTGATGTTTAAGAAGGACCAAAAATAAAACGGTTACCTGTCCAGTAGAAATGGGGTGTGTGTGTGTGTGTGTGTGTGTGTGTGTGTGGTATGTATGTACATGTGTGACTGTGTGCATGCATATGCATACATGCTTGTGTGTATATGTATGAGTGTATGCATGTGTGGGAATGTGTGGTGTGTGTGGCTGTGTATCCGTGTGCATGTGTGTTTGGGTGTTTGTGCACTTGCATTTGTAGGTCAGAGGTTAGTTTTATTCCACTGTTTTCCTCAGTCCTTGTCCTAGCTCATGGTTCTTGACCTGCCATCCAGCTCCAGGGTCCTGCTGTCTGCACCTGCAAGCAGACATGGCTGCCATGTCTGGTGATTTATGTGGGTTCTGGGGGTGGGGTCCAGGCCTTCCTGTTCACATGGCAGGTACTTCATGGACTTCACTGTCTCTCTGGTTTCAGATGTGACTTTCTAAGCAGTTTCCATGTGGAATTGGGTAAATCTGCAGAAGCGGGTCCCAAGCACATCCAGAGGTAAATATGAATTTCTTCAGTCAAGGCAGGGTTGAGTGTTATCATCAGACTCCAAAACCAGATGGAAACACAAAGGACCCGGTTGTGGGGACTGGAGGGCCATGCTCTGGCATGGAAAAGGGAGCTAGTGACTTCCCAGGCTTTCAATTTGCATAAATTACTTTTATAATTAAAATGTATCTGCACCCATAATGAGCAATGGTACCTACTTACGGCTGAGAATCTTAGTCTCTCCTGTGTCAGGAGAGAAAGGATATTTAATTCCCGCCATCAGTGCTAACCATTGTTGATGCCATTACAGGCTTCTGCTGTCTTTCCCCTGTTCCATGCACACAGACATTTAAAAAATTATTTGCTTATTTAATGTGTATGGGTGTTTTGCCTCTAGTGCTACAGAGGCCAGGAAAAGATGTTTGCTTCTCAGGATCTGAAGTTACAGACGGTTGTGAGCCACCATGTGGGAGCTGGGAATTAAACCCAGATTCTTCCAAGAGCAGCCAGATCTCTTAGCTACAAAGAGATCCTGTTTCCTGCTTCTCCAGGTTATTAGCACATAGCCTGGGCATCAGGAGGGCTGCAGGAGGAAACTCAGGGTCGGGCCCCAGCCTCCTTCTCCTCTCTGTTTGCAGCAGGGGCTTAGTCAGGTCCTGAACACAGCAAGGGCTCCACAGACACCTTTAGATGGTTTTTAAATAGGTACGAAACAGGGACTGCCATGAGGGTCAAGGTAATGGTGACAGACACCCAGTTGTGTGGGGATTCGTGCTTTTCATAATTGCAGTGGTAAACACTGGTCCCCTCAGGACACATCTGGAGGCAGACAGGCCTCTGTGGTGTTCTCTCCTTCAAAACTGCTGGTTTCCTCTCTGGGCCTCTGAGTCAGGCCAGGGTGGAGAATTAGACCCTGGCCACCGAAAGTATGGCTTTGAATGCAGCCAAAACAAATGGTTGGGCTGGTCCCTGTGGGGAGTGTCATTTCACCCACAGTCCACAAAGAAGCTTTTGACTGAAAGCAGGGAGTCACGCAGCTGGGACGTTCAGGGCTCCTCAGACAGTCATTCTGCTGGCAGAGAGAAAGCTCCCAACGGCCACAGAAGGTTCTAGAGGCTCTTTCATGCCCTAGGTGCCTAGGCAAGCAGATGACAGCCAACACTGGATGGAAATATTCAAGACAGACAAGTTTCAGGCCTTAGGCTAAAAGCTCCCACTTAGGCACAGTGGTGTTCACCTGCCGGTCTCAATGCTCAAGAGTTTGGGGCTCAAAGATGATGGTGCCCAAACCAAGTAACAATGCAGGCCTGCTACTTGTGGAGCTGTGTTCCTATCCTGCCGTAACTGGAGATTTTAGGGCAAATCCCAGACCCTGGCTGGCCCCATGGCCCCCACCTATACACACTAGGGAGTCCCCCACTAGGCTTGCCCTCGCCCCAATTTACTCGACACTCACACAAATGAAGTACGCATAAAGAACCCCGTTGTCACAGTCAGTCCTGCAGCACAGACTCCAGCTTTAAGTTTCAACACAGGAAAAATGTGGTCGCAACCCGAGGCCACAGTTCAGAAGTCCAGGCTAACTCGGCCCTGCCCTCCTCCTCTTAGATCAGGTGGGAGGCAGCCTCGTGGATCTCTGTCATGAGGAGGTGACCAACATGATTCCCAGAAGTGACCTTCTCCTGGTGCA